ACCCCCTTGCCACCTCCTGATCTGCTGCTGCTATTGCTGGACTCTTTGCTGATATGGCCACAGCAGCCTCCCCCATGCACTGGGCAGGATCCAGCCTGCAAAGAGTCTCACAGTCTGGATGTGGCCCAGGACCTCATGTGAGCTTGACATTCCCGGACTGCAGAAGTGTATCAAAAGACTCTGGTAGAGAATTAAAGACTGGGATGATTCTATTTCATAAGTGATCACAGAATCATAGAAAAGTAGAGCTGGAAGGGACCTCCACAGGTCGTCTAGTCCAACCCCTTGCCTGAGGCAGGATTATTCCTATCCAAACCATCCTGTACAAATCCACTGTCCAACTGTTTGGTAAAACTATACAGTCAACCCTAATAGAACCCAAAACACAACACCCTAACCTATCACAGGTGAAATACGGGACAATGGCAATCAACATCCTGCTGCTGTAAAAATTCTTAATAGATGCTCAAGAGATTTTAGGAAGAGGGCCATGCCCCACCTACAGAGGAAGGTGAACACCCCAGTCAGTACCACCCTGACAATGGGGTAAAATTTCTTCCTGACCCCAAATATGGCAATCATTTTGACCCTGAGTGGAAAAGCAAGACCCTCTAGCCAGGAACTGCCATCCTGAAGTCTCAGCAGGAGCACTGGCATACTTGATTCAAAATCCCCAGCCTAAGGAAGTCTTAAAAAAAACCCTGACATATCCCTCCCAGCCCCACATAGCAACCAGCAAAGCCCAGAAGCATAGGAAACACCCACAGTGGAACACAGGCATAGCTATGCTCAGATAATCCCTAACCAGTGGCTGTCCAACCTCTTCTTGAGCATCTCAAGTGATGGGAAAATCAACAACTTCCCTAAGCAGTCTATTCCACTGCCTCATTGTTTTAACAGTGAAGAAGTTTTTCCTGATATCCAATCTAAATAAGTAACAGCAATATATCACAGTCTCCCTGACCCAAAAGTTCGGTCCTCTGGACTCAGAAAGAGGCTTAGGGATTCTGGAGAGATCATTAGTTGTTGCCCTTATCAGAAAGCAAGGCAAGTGACAGACTCAGGGGCTCATGAGTACATCCTTGTATCCCAACACTCTAGAACTCTTTCCATCATGCAGGAGTTTCCTCCATTTTTCCTTCCCGATTGTTTTCTTGGCATGTTGAATCCAGCCACTACTTACACACTACCTAATGATGTAGAGAAGTCATCAGTGTTCCAATGTGGTAAAAGCAACATCACTTAGAGTGTATCTACATGAAACAATGCTGTTTACATACATCTGAGGTTGAGTTAACATGTTCAGCACTGATAATGAAAATAGGGTAGCTCACTGGAGGAGTAACTTTTTAAAATTCATCTTACCTCTTCCCCAGACAAAAAATAAAGTGTGGCAAGCTCCTCTAGAACAGTTAACATTTAATATTCACCTGCAGTAACTGAAATCACTTTTTTCCCCTCAAACTAAAAGGTGAAATATGTTAGTTCAGTTACTTGGGACTCCTGCTTTAAGCCAAATCTGGAAACTCACCGACTTCAGGTTTTTCTCAAGGATATGCCACGTCGGCTCCATCACTTCAAACATCATGTAATACTGGATATTCTGTACAAAATTCAACATCCGTTGTCGCAGTGTGAAAGCACCAGCAAACCTGAACGAAAAGTAACAAGTAAGCCAGCTGAGACGTGGCAACAGTTAGTTGGATGCCTAGAAGCCTAATCTTTAGGATTATCAATATGGTACTGTGTTAGCACCAAATTAACATTAAAGAAAACTTAACCAAGAAATCAACTAATCAGAAGGCCTTTTATCAGATATCAAAATGCTGCTTCAAACTGCAGCATGTTCTCAAGCCTGTCAGAAACATAAAATAATTTGGTTAAAAGTCAGACCAAGGAACATTTAAAGCATGTAATCAGGAATAACAACCAACTTGCCAGCTGTTCTGCTGGAGGGAAAAGGCCATACCATTTAGCTGAATGCAATGAGTATTGCTTAGCAGTCTTATTGCTGATCCAAACATTGCACAGTTGTCTTTCCACGTGCTTACAATAAAACATATGTCTGAAAAGCATCTGGTACCGTGTTAAAGCTTTTCTGAAAAGAAAAAAAAAGAAAGAAAAAGTACAGATCAAACTATCTTCTCATTAGTAAACAAAAACTACACTGTGGTGAGTGTCAAATGACATCCAACACAAAACTGCTAAAGCAAGGAAAAGAAAAACGAAGGCATCTGCTATGTCAGGGGTGGGCAAAATACAGCCCACAGGCCAGCCTGCATCTGCCCCTCTAGTGCTCCACACGGGGCCAAGCCCCACCCCCTCCCACCGGGGTGCCCACGCTCCCGCTGGCCTAGGCTCCAGCCAGCTTCTGGTGCGCTGTTCCCAGTGTAGCTGCGGCCAGTCAGATGCTCCTCTGTTTCCCTCTCCCCCAGCAGAAGCTGCCAGGCTAAAGCTTCCTGCCTACCTGCCCACCTGCGTGAAGCAGCACAGCAAGAGCGGGAGTGGCTGCTGGAGGTGAGGGAATGTAGCAGCACCCAGTAGGCTGCAGCTGCATTGGGAACAGTCCCACCAGAAGCTGTGCACTGGCCATATCATCCCCTTGCCTGCAGCTGTAGTGGGGCTATTCTGGAAGCTGCACACTGGCTAGGGCCTTGGCTGGCAGGGCTGTCCTGCTCCCCTTGCCTCCAGCTGCAGTGGCTGCTATGCAGCTCCAAGTTTGGGGGACGGAGCGGGGGGAGGGGAGGCTTTAGCTGGGCAGCTTGAGCTCTGGCTCTAGCTCTCAGCTGCCTTCCACCAGCTCTGCCCATTCAGCATGATAACCAGCCACTTGCAGGTGAGCAGAGCAGGTGGAAGGCAGCCCAGAGCCAGAGCTCCAGCTGAAGCTTCCACCTTAGTGCCCAGAACAGTGAAGCAGGGGCAGGGCAGAAGGAGGAGCAGCAGCAGCAGCCGCAGCTGGAGACAAGTAGAGCAGAACAGCCCTGCCAGCCCAAGCCCCAGCCAGCACACAGCTTCTGGTAGAGCTGTTCTTGGTGCGGCTGCAGACAGCCAAGTGCTGCTGTGCTCCCCTTGCCTTCAGTAACAATGTGAGCCTAGCAGGCTGCAGCCGCGCTGGCAACAGCCCCACCAGGAGCTGCACACTGGGGCTAGGGCTGGGGCTGGCAGGTATGGGCGGGAACACAGAGCGGGTTGCCCTGGGTGGGGCTTGACCCCATGTGGAGCGCTGCAGGGGCAGCTGTCGACCAGGCAAGCTGTGCTGCACATGCCCCCTGCCTCCCAGACAGCCTCCACATCCCCTCCACACACCCCTGCCACCTCCCCCTGGCATAGGGCAGGGCATGCAAAGAGCAGATCACACATCCTGCTCCAAACACTGTTCCGCACCTACCAAAGCCCCATAGGGAGTTTTGGCAAGTTGCTGGACATGGGGGAGGGGCAGGTGACCCAGCCGGCCACAGCTCATCAAAACTCCTCATGCAGCCCTTGGGCCCAAACAATTGCCCACCTCTGTACTATGTCATACCAAAGATGCAGTGTGTTTTCTGTTTGTCACATATATCAATTGTTTTAGTGGTGAGATGTGCAACTGGAACTGTACTAGCTGGGAAACTGCTTTCCTGCACCCTTTTCTCCAATTCCACCCCACTACAAATGGCCACACGCTTTTCAAACAGTTTTCAAAAATCATATTCACTCCTGGTTGGAGACCATACTAGACATCCTAGAAAACACAATCCTAAAAATTAATATTTATGCCTGAACAATTTGCCAAGATTGAAAGAGGAAGAACTGTGACCAAGACATGGCTTTTGACACAGTGACCATTTCTTTGCCTGCAGTTAATGCACTGAAGATGCGTGGCAGTTATTTATACTTTCAGATACTGAATATTGTGCACCACCGACCAGGCATGGCTCTTTCTGTATAGCTTTAAATTTTTAAACTCTACAGAGCAGAGATACAGAGAAGTGGGGCAAATTCATGGAATATCTACTTCGTAAGTACAACCCTCTAGTTAAAACGAGCTAGTCCATTTCCTCTCCCACAATGTAAAAAGACAGGTGAGAAATCAGTGCTGTCATTTTCTAAGAAAGTGCTTTTCCCCAAGATTCAGTCTGTTGAATTTATCATCATCCAGCATTCTAGGGCACTTTTACACATGCTCCGGGGGTGGGTGGGGAGTAGTGCTTTAG